TCTGTCTCTGCTCATGTTAAAATAAAATACATAAATGACGGGAGGGGGTACTTAGTTTATTTGATGCTTATTTGCTTGTTTTAAAAGAAAATTTTCTTAGAAATTAATTATATAGGAATAATTATTTAAATAAATACATATATATAATATATAATATATAATGATATAAAAATTATATTCAGGAATTACAATCTTGAAAAGACTCAAATAAAAAATGTCATGTGATTCTCATATTAATGACAAAATATCTCCCTTCATTTCAAAAACTCTGTAACAGTTATGATTGGATAATATTAGATATAAAACTGACTCATATAATCACAAGGCAGGATTTGTTTGCACAGGTAAAATCTGATTACGCCCTCTGGGTCACACGGGATTAATCTGGCCTCTCTCCACAAACTCAGTTAATAAAAGAACATGAGCAGTCATGCTCATAATGGAACTATGAGGCCAAACATTTAGAGATTATTAATAAGCTTCACCAAAGGAATTTGCGAAAGGATGGATTTTACAGTAATAAACAAAACATTCATGTTGCTAATTGCACTTTAAACATTCAGAAAGTTTGTCCATTGCGCCTCCATGCGGACGGTGTATGGAAGAAAGTTGGCGCCTACATCCCCCAGAAGTACTCGCGCGTGACGTCACGGCAGCAGCAACCGGAAGTGTTCCAACTGAGCCGTTGCTGTAAGATAAGGTAAGCTTTTCTATTCATTTAAAATGATTCACGGTTTTATTCGGAAATATAATAAAACAAAAAGTGTTTCTAGCTTCGTATTTATTTACACGATCTAGTATTTTATTAAAACAATTAACGTTAGCGTATTTATTTTCGTAGTAATGCTAGGCTTCTACCAAAACATTTGACACCTACCTTTCAGTATTTCTGAAATCAAGCCATATAAGTTACGTTAACGTGTATAAATAAGCCACAACATAACAGTAGTTGCAGCAAATCAGCTTTCCACTGATCTAAGCATTTGTAGAATTTAAGATTGTGTATTTATGAAAGGAATCATGACTTAAGTCACAGTCCAAGTGTTTCTTGTGCTCTTCAGGAATGACCTGTATACTGGAGAAGGTGCTGGCTGATGCCAAATCACTGGTAGAGCGGCTCCGGGATCATGACAGTGCTGCTGAGATCCTGATCGAACAAACCACGCTGCTGAACAAGAGAGTGGAGGCCATGAAACAGGTATCAGTGTTTGTTCTCAGTCTGCCTAATGGGGATGAGAGTTGTTGTACTTATATTTCTTGTTCTTTCAGTACCAGGAAGAGATTGAGGTGTTGAACCAGGTGGCGAGACACCGGCCGCGCTCCACGCTGGTCATGGGCATCCAGCAGGAAAACCGGCAAATACGGGAACTGCAGCAAGAAAACAAAGGTGTTAGGAGGGTTTGCAATTAGAAGCTGTCACTGGATGTCATTTGAGGGCTGTTTTAAATCCAAATCCGCACATTTGTCTCGGCAGAGCTGCGCACGTCACTGGAGGAGCATCAGTCTGCGCTGGAGCTCATCATGAATAAATACAGAGAGCAGGTGTTTCGCCTTCTGATGGCCAGCAAGAGAGACGATCCTGCTATCGTCACCCAGCTCAGAGAACAGCACACTAATGTCAGTCTTACAGACGGTTTTTATGAGGTTCCCTCTAATTCTGGTGTCCAAATAGTCATTCACTGTGTTTATGTCGCAGGAGATGCAGGCGCACATTGAGAAAATAAACGAAATGGCCACAGTGATGAGGAAAGCCATCGAGGTGGATGAAGGGCGACTGTGTGAGGATGAGGAGAGAATGAAACGTCTGGAGGTCAGACACACTAAATATACCACATTGAATTCGTTATTAAAATATATTGCAAACAATGGCACAAAATCAGTGTAAGAAAGATTAAAATAAACAATTATATTAGGCTGATATCACTTGAAGGCTTAATGCATGATCAGCACTTAAAAATTTTAGTCTGTTACTGATTACAAATTACATGAAGAAAATTGTAGTTAGTAACATTATCTATTAGATTACACATTTTAGGTAATGTAATCCGACTACGCTTTCATTACCTTTGACTTAACTTGTTTAACACATAGATTTAAAAGTCTTGCGTCATACTGATACAAAAATACATAGATAAATTAAATATATTCCATTCTGTGTTAGCAACAGTGCATTAAACATTCATTTATGTAAGGGTTTCCCAAACTGGTGTGCGAAGGATAAAAGCTAATTAATTAAACCATATAAATGTACAATTAAAATAAATAAAAAATAAAAACAATCAGATACAACACTTATTAAAATAATATATTTTACATTTATAGAATTTTATACAGTATATAATTTGTAATTTTATACATTATACCATTTTTATATATTAATACAAATATTTTATATAATAAAACAACAAAAATATATATATATATATATTTTTTTACCTGCATATCATACAACCATTAACCAACATCCAAGATCTGTGAATATGTTGTGGTGCTGTTATTATTGAAATAATAAAATTGTAAAATCTCGTATTAAAATATTTAGTATTTTGGGTCCAACTCCAAGGGATTCGGCGGACAAAAAAGTAAATTACTACTATTGTGTAAATAATATGTAACCAATAACAAAGGAACTCTAGTCTGATTATTTTATTATTATTATTTATTTATTTATCTGATTGAGTATTTTAAAACATAATATATTTTATTTATCTGTTTATTTCATTAGTGAGTATTTTAAAATGTGATATAATCAATTTTTTGATTTATCTGACTTATTTTATTATTGAGTATTTTAAAACGTAATATTAAGTTATTATCAGAGCCTAGCCCTATACCGCAATAAACATGACACTTGTAATGGTTTATATGTTGATGCTGTTGTGTGCAGCTGGAGAACAGCGGTCTGCGAGAGCTGTTGGGAATCAGCCGCCAGGCGTTTCTGGTGCTGAAGAGGGACGACACGTCTGACAGCACATCTCTCTCGCCACTGCTCTCCAGTACAGACGTCAGTCTGAGGAAGAGCTAAAGGCCGTCAGAGACTCTTGAGTTTACAAACCGTCGTTCAGAGCTGCCCTACAAATCCCACAATCCTCCATTACAGGGTCACACGCACTCACTGCGCAACCTGGATGTCCATCAGTCATTCCGCATGAGGTGTTTTGCAGGAAGGGCCTGTGGAATCTGTCAAACACTGAGATCCGATTACTTTTCCATCTCTCCATCATCATGGCTTCAGTCTGGAAAAGTCAAATCGACTGATTCAGCCACATGAAAACACAATCATTTTTGGAACAGTAAAATTGGCATATTGTGAATGATTACTTCACCTGACTTTGTAAAGGGAATGTCACAATGTGCCATTTGAATGAAAAAGCTTGTTTTCTTTTGTTTGTTTTTTGCTTGTGTTTGTAACTGTTTTATGTGGGTATGAGAGGAAGTAGCATTGAAAGTGATTAAAAGCATTGAATGAACTGGCTATGTCCTTCTCTAGTTTCATGTGCTGAGGGTATTGAATAACTACTCAACACTTCAGGTTTTACACCATCTTTAATTTAGTATTCAATTACGTTATTGCATGTAAATTTATATTGCATATAAAATGCATCGCAAATGCTGTTTCGCATCAACTTTGAGCTAATAACTAATTTAAACAAAATAATTTAAAATAAAAACAAGTTTTTATTTTCTATAATTTTATAACATGTAAACACATTTATAATTTTATTTTTACCATATTTTTTTACCATATTGTTACATTTTATTTGAATTATGCAAAATCTAATGTGAAATGATTCGTTTCACAATCCAGTTATTTCCAGATGCATAAAATCAAGTCCTGCCTGACATTTCTCATCGTTTCACTCACAATTACGTCACAAAATGTATTGCAATTATATAATACTCTAATAAAACACTAATGATGGTCTGTCACATCAAAAAGTTCACACATTTCTCACATTCAATAAAAGCAAAACATCAGATCTCATTCTAATCTGTCTTGGAATAGAAAACAATATCATTTAGGTGTTAAGGCACAAATGACAACTTTATTAAACATTTAATTATTTAGACAATCATTTACATTTCATACAAAACAGAAATAATGCATACTGCTAGCACTTAAAAACAATTTTAACATTACTGCATGTTGTAAATGCTTTAGAAAAAGTTTGCTTCTGTGAGAGACACAAAGATCGCATGAAGAAACCCTGAGAGGAAACCAGAAGTGTTTTGATGAATAATGCAAAACTACTGATTTTGCAGTCTGTCAAAGATCGATCTTAAGAGCTACATATCCAGTTATAAAGCACAGAAAATGACTGAAAAACATTTAAACTCCGCAGATTCTCAATATTCCTCTTACACTGCATTTAAAATCCTCATTACAAGTGCGTTACACCAGTGCAGTGAAGCAGTGATCAACCTCCCACAGGAACAGTCAAAATAAGCTCGTTATTTCTAACATGAACTCCAAACCTCGGTGAGGATCCGCTGAGACTCATACGCGCTCACTTAGACACAGAAAACACTCAAACATCAGCCGTAGAGGCTTACAGTGACTACTAATGAACACCGGTTCATTTGGTCTGTAATCACAGAATGTTATACATTTATTTTAATGGTGAACATCTTTAAAAATCGCTCATTCACTCGTGCACTAAACACGTAGTAAAAACGTTAAAAGAATCTCCCCTGAACGTTTCCTCTAAGCTGCTAAAATGCATCTAAAATCACGCTGTGGCAGCTGATGTATATAGTAGAGGTCAGTTGCTTGACATTTATCTGAAAACAGCAATGGGATCAAGCACTGCTGGGAACCTACACAAAAACACACACATAAGTGCACACGGTCAGTCTCACACTGTGTGAGCTGCTTTTAACCTCTTTAGAGTCTTTGGGCTCTAAAAATCGAGCTCAATCCTCATGTATGTTGCTATAGGTCTCCACAGGCTTGAGCAGCCGTGTTCTGGAGGGGAAGGACTAACAGTGAACTGACTTCAAGTCAAAGGTCAAAGGTTAAAGCAGTAGAGGTGTGGTTTCGCCGGCCGGTTCTGCGCGCTGTGTGAGCTGGCGAATACGTCCGAGGATTTGGGCTGATAAAGACGGCTTGTGGTGGCTGGGATCCAGAACGTTGGTCTTCCTGCGCTCTCGTTCTTGCTTCCACATCACGTATGGGCTCGGTGGGAAAAACGGCCGCGATTTCTCCCGATACAGCTGCACGACGATCCCCGAAACCCCCAGAACGACCCACACGGTGATCATGATGAAATCTGGAGAAGCGGAACATCAGACATGACCAATACATTGATACGTCAGACCCAGGAATTAAAGCAAAACAAAATTATTTTTTTTAGGCTGAATCATATTCCTTTATCACCTTACTTAAACACTCAAGCACAACAGCGTTTTAAGGGAAGAAGGACTTGTGTAATTTCAAAGCTGTTTTCAATGTATGCGTCATTATTGTTTCTTGATATTATAATAATGATTGTTAATGGTAATGATTGATTTTTGTATCTGGGAAAATGGCACATCATATTCTCGTAGACAAAATGAGTTAAGAAACCATTTATGAATTAGTTTGTGTTTTTATGTATTACAAATTTAAGACTTCTCACTGGTTATGTCAGCATCAAAAAAACGGACCATGACTTCAGTCACTCCCATTATAGAGTCAATGAAAAAGTCTACAAAACCTATGAATGATTCTCTTGCATTGAAAAAATAAATCCAGTGTTTTCATCAAATTTAACTCGTGACTAATGTAAACGCTTTTGATTGGCCATTGAACACTTTTCATCACATTTCAGTTTAACTGCGGCAGTCGTAATTGATTTCATTTAACTGTGCAGGAGCATTTTTTGGCCCCTTATCTTGGATTTGGGGTGCATTTTTGCTAGTGCTGTCAAACGATTAATCACGATTAATCGCATCCAAATATTAAATATATTTATATATATATATAATATAAAATATAAGAATATAAATGTATATACATGTAAATACTTTCAAAATATATACAGTATGTGTGTGTATTTATATATACACATAATAAATATACACAGTACACATACATATATTATGTAAACAAAAACTTTTATTTTGGATTAATCGTTTGACAGCACGAATTTTTGCTAATTTTAGTGGCATTTTGCCCCAAGCCCCTGTTAATTTCCAACCCTGGTCTGCACTGATCTCATACATGGCCTACAACTTCAATCCCTGCACACCTACCGATATCCTGCAGCGGTACGGAGATAAACGCTCGGCTGAAGTTGTGGTTGAGGAGGCGTTTGAGGACATCCAGCGTGATGAAGGACAGACTGGTGTAGGTGTAGGCATTGACGGCCAGGACCACTGTATATGCGCCAACCACTCCACATGTAATTATATTGCCCTGAAACATACAGATAAAAGTGTGCATTTTATTTAGGTGTCGGATATGAGCTCATATCAAATGTATTTTTCTGTATCTCACCTCTCTAGGCCACCTGATGAAGAACAAAGGAACAAACACCATAATGCAAGCAAACACCACCCAGAACACCACATCATTATGAAATACAGGAAGATCACCTGGAGAAAAAAAGAGAGAGATTAAACAACAAATCCATAAAATGAAAATGATTAAATAACTAATGATGAAAATTACTGCCCACATCTCAACAATCAACATCCAGCAAGACTATGAAGTGAGATTATAAAGAGATCATTCTCAACAGATGCAGAAACAACATTTTTAACTGCATGAACGATGATACGTGGTTTTTCAGACATGATTTCTTACCAAGTGGAGTGAAGAAGACGATGGATGAGATGAGAAATCCAAGAATGAGTCCCACCACCAACACGCAGGCCATGACTGAACCGAACCGCCACCAGCTCATCACCATGGCCACGCCCCCAACCACGCCCATCAGCGCTGTCAGAGCCAATCGAACTGCAGAGAGACGGTCAGTCAACAAACTGTTTAAAGACATCAGATAACAAGACATAAATATCAGCTGACTAATTAGAGTACATTAAGACATTATTATGTATTACAAATGTTATATTTAAATATGCAAATGACACATTATTTAATTAAATATGCACTAATTTGCATACTTTTCCAGAACCAAACATTGGATAAACCCAGGTTCAAAATTAATGTTTCATTTTGATGACACGAGTGATTTTGGATCTCTTTTTATCTCTACACAAATCAGAAAATATAACAATCAGAAAAAAATTTCCACCATATTTTAAGAAGTAAAATGTTATATAGATCAAGCAAATAATATATGACCAAACCCCTTAGTAAAAACATTCAGAATACAGATAACTTATTAGAATGCAGATAGAAAAAAACTGTGAAGTTTAATGTAAATGCTGCTGAAATGGGGAAAAAACTCATTTTGTGAAACTGCCTTTAAAGATATGTATTGCATTTAAAATCCTCAGATAGATAAAGTGCTATAAAAAAATAAACATTTAAATGTGCATTTTAGATGTTTTCTATCCACTAGTCTAACAAAAGACAAGTTGTGGATGCAAAACAAAAAACAAAATCCAAAATTGCATGAAAAAACTATGGTTTTGCCTGTAATGTCTTGACTTTAAAAAGTGCTTTAAGAACAAACTTGAGCTAAGATTGTTCTGATTAATCAGCGGTAGGATAAGTCATCAGTTGTTATCGATCTCAGAAAATCAAAAATGCTCTTCCTCATTTCAGCCATGCCTGTCCTGTAACACGCAAACAGCTCTACATGATGCATTTGATTGGGACAGGCTGGTTTGACACCTCCAGCTGAAATCCACAGCGCATGACTCTAATCCTCAGAGAGTTACAGCACAACAATAACCTCAATCCTCTGTGACGAGAGCTGCTTTCTGCTCTCGTGACGGCTGTTGAGATTCACTGCTGGCAGAACCAGTTTGTGTAGCCAATTTCAGTCCAATTCAACTTGAAAAACTCAAGTTCTTGGGACATGAACTATTTATGGGTATGTAGACATCAGCTCAGTGTAAACAGTACAAATCATCCAGAATGACGTGAAACTCTGAGCTGCATTACAGGTCTAAGAGGTTGAGCTGATGCAAATACATTAGAGCTCTAAGAGGTGATCATAAACTTCAGATCGGTTCAGGCAAGCACTAGTCATCTAATTTGACAGCTATTCAGTGCATGTGTAACTCTGCAATGTGACTGTATTGGACTCACGGTTGTATTCCAGCGGTGTGGTTATGGTGATCACGACAAAGAATACAAACGCTGTAAAGCCAAAGCCCATACAGAACAGCTCTGAGAAAACACAGAAATAGACATTTTAATAGTAACAATAGGTGTGTTTACATGCAATAATTTCCATCTGTCTGAATCAGTGTTACTTTTGTATCACTACTATTATAGTTTATTAGAGTTATTAATATTTTGAATTACTTTTATTACAGTTTATTTTATGTAGTTTTTATTTTTACATTTTATTTTGATTTTAGTGAAAGTTTTAGTAATTTTGTTGCGTTTTTGTCATTTTTATTAGCTATTGATTTTTTTTTTTTAAGTCTACATAGTTTTTAACCATTCAAACTAAAGTTAAATTAAAACTAAATGAAGATGAGAAATTTTGTCTTGGTAACAAGCTGAAATAAAATATTTTTGTTTTTATATTATAATTTAGTTAACATTTATTTCATTTCAACACCGATTTTTAAAAAACTTTTATTTAATATTTTGAAATGTTTTATTTTATATTTTTAGTTTGTTTTAATCATTTTGTTGTGTTTTTTGTCATTTTTATTAGTTTTAGTTTTTTTTATAAGTCTTTATAGTTTTTTTTATTTATTTCAGTTTTAGTTTTAGTTATTTTAGTATATCAAGTAAAAATAAATGTTCCCTTTAAACAATAAAATAAGTTGAAAAAAATATTTTAATTTATTTTAGTTAATGTTTATTTTATTTCAAGCAACAAAATAATCTAAAGTTCATTGTTTTAGTTGTAGTTAACATAAAAGTCATGCGTACAGATCTACGAGTTTAACAAGGCTCCAAATTTAAACAGGTCATATAATGAAAAATCTAAATTAAATGAATGATTTTGAAGCTGCCAAAAAGACCATTTACTAAAACTAAGCTGCACAAATGATTCGTTTTAAACTTCACTGTATTTTTTAGCTTCACATAATTATTTCACATGTTCACACAGAAGGCCTAAAACACAGCTGCAAAAAAACAGCCGTTTCATTCAGAAGGAGAAAAGCCTGAAATGGTCATAAAACACTGAATAGACTGTTTGTTGTGCAAGAAGCCTTGACTAACATTGCAAGTGGACATCAGGAAAGAAATGAATATGTCCCCTTTAAAAACATGCCATCCATTCAGCACTGATGCAACTATATCACTGTTCACCTCTGACTCTCTAAAGCTCTAGCAAAGACTTTCCCAAACCTAAAATACTTGGGGCATATTCAGTAGACAGGCAGTTATTAATAGCAGTAACGTGGTGTGTTTCTAAGAAAAGCATGAAAAACATCTCTCACCACATTTGAAGAAGCGGTGTCCCACAAAACACACAAAAAGCCCAGCCAAACCAATCACAGTGAAAAACACTTTAGTAGACACTCTCCCTGGGAAAATGATAAAGAAAATACATTTAAATACCACATCAAACCTGCTGTCACAGAAACTGTTCAAAAGCTAAAGACAAAATATCTTTTCAAGTAGGATTTAAAAGTGGCAAATGACATCAAATATGATATGAAAGGAATTTCTGAGATTAGGAATCACATATTGCAGCATCCATTTAGATTTTCTTTCATCTTCTCACCTAAATCGCTGCATCCGTCCAGCGTGGAATTGAAGCTGCAGGCGTATGTGTGGACGGGGATGTAGGACGCTGACGTGTTCAACACTGGATCTCTCACAATCACAGAGAAAATCACACCCTGACCGGGCAGAGAGCTGAAGGAGAACTGCGTCCGGTCATGAGAGGTTAAAGACACCACCTGAAAGAGTGAAATTAAATGATAAACTAAGGGTGTTTTCAGACCTGTAAATCGTTTACTTTGTTTGGAAACAGGGACTTTATTACATATATGTGACCCTGGACCACAAAATCAGTCATAAGGGTCAATTTTTTGAAATTGAGATTTATACATCATCTGAAAGCTGAATAAATGAGCTTTCCATTGATGTATGGTTTGTTAGGATAGGACTGTGTTTCAATATTTGGCCGAGATACAACTATTTGAAAATCTGGAATCTGAGGGTGCAAAATAATCTAAATATTGAGAAAATTGCATTTAAATGTCCATGTCCAAATGAAGTTCTTAGCAATTCATATTACTAAATTAAGTTTTGGAAATTTACAAAATATCTTCATGGAACATGATCTTTACTTAATATCCTAATGATTTTTTGGCATAAGAGAAAAATGTATAATTTTGACCCATACAATGTATTGTTGGCTATTGCTACAAATATACCTGTTACTTATGACTGCTTTTGTGGGCCAGGGTCACATATATTGAATTTATATTTTATATATTTTTTGAATGTTTGAGTATGTAAATGTTAGGAGAGTTTAACTTTATCAACGGGTATATACAGTGCTTAACAACTTTATTAGACCACCACCACCCAATGTAAGGTTTGTGCCACAGCTACCCTAAACTAACAGTATTTGTGATTACCAAAATCAATTTTGATGTTTCTGTAATGGTTAATCTACCAGTATGTGTAAGCTCTTTAGTCACAGTAGTGTTCAGATGCTCAAATGTAATTATAATGAAGTGCTTTACTATTCCTTCTGCCTTTTTTGTAAAACAGTAAAACATTAATGGATAATAACAATAATCATATTTTAGCATTAGAAGTAATACTGTGGCTAAAGAGCTTACACATACTGGTGTATATATATATATATA